TTTGATTTCTTAAAACCGCTGCCCTTGTGTATAAAACCGCGGACAATTAGCGGCTATCCAAGAAACCATCGTTTGCCAACTGCTTGCATTTTCAAAACTGTGCTTTGTGTATGAACCTTACCATTAGCATATGTTAACCGCTACAGAAAACGTTCTTTTTGTGAAAAACCGTTGCGTTGCCCTCATCTTAGAAACCGGGCATGGTTGTGAAACCGCTACCTTATGCTATAGCCTACGCACCGGCCCAGCCAATGAACAGTCTTTTGTAACCGTTGCCGCTTGTGTAATTGCAACGGTTTAGATGCCTTAATGCACCGAGCGTCGCCTGCATTGTTGCTGCGATGCCCGCCGGTCCGCCTCCTACGGTCGATCTCATGCCACCACGCGGTTTAAACCGTTGCGGTCTAGAGCAAATATGGTGGTAGTCGATCTTCTGTATCAGCCTCTATAAAGTGAGCTTCAATGTATGAACGATGGTAATACGATATTATGACAACTTTACAGTTACTATAACATATTCATGCCTTATTATAGTAAAAATTAATTATTTACATGAACGGTGACTGAAGGGCCAAGCGTTAAGTGTCAAGTTAAACTTTTAGGGAATCTCATGATTTCTACGACCACAAGGAGACTTTTTGAAGTACACTTTTATATAAGCCTTCAACTTACCTAGGGATTGCAGTTCCTTCATTGATGCCTATATAAATGGGAGAGAATTAATTAAGGTTTAAGCATATTGTTTAATCCAGCACAACGCATACCCTGCAAAAGAACAACTCATTAAAACGAAACTTTGCTTCTGAAGTTCAAGCGCTTAAGCATGCATGACAACACATGACATGTACTGATGTGAGCCTACCTCATACACATGGTGATTTAAATTGTGTCTCTCTGTCCTGTTGTTATTAGACACAAAGGCCTTGTTAACATATACTAGTTTGAAAGGTTGTCCTAAAGTAATGAATGAGACATAGAAATATTCATCTATAGAGTGGATTATTCAAAGATAGCACGAGACACTTCCACAGCAACTAGATAGCTCCCTTCAATTTGCACACGCATGCACAGACAGGCGCTGTATTTAAGGAAAGGGAGGCCAACTGCCAAAGGGTCTAACCCAAAGGATAGTCAATTAAAACAAAAAAAGCAATAAAGACGCAATTATTGTTATGTAAATCAGAACATTTAATGGAATTGGATCCATGAATGTTTTATAATTGAACCAAATAACTTCACCAATAAACGGGAAAGGAATGATTTACTTGTGCCATTCTCCACTGAACCAGAAGGTACCCTTAGGATGTTTCAAAGCCATCCAAAACGCAAAAATTGCTTTTTGCATTGTACCCAAGCGGCCTATTTCAAAAACAAATGTCAGAGAAATTAACAGTTTCATAGCAAATCACAGATAAAATGTAGGGAATTCTATCTGTTGGCTTAGAGAATAGGATCGGCCTGAATCAGATTCTAAACTGAGTTGGAAACCGTAAACACTGTAGCCAACCGAGCAATACCCTGGGACTTCATTATCATCGGAGCACCGAACTGCAGCAATAGACAGAGAGACAGCGGATGGGTTCGCACGGAAGTTTCTCGGTGTGAGAGCACTTCTCTTTTTCTTACTATTATTCATGAAGAATGTACATATATATGATAAGAATTACAATTGAATTCTTATACCAATAACTAGAAACTACTTATAATAGTATTCTATTCTCTAACCTAGAATTTATCTACTACTAGAATCCAACTTACAATCCGGCGATCTGATTACAACTCACTTCTCCCCTTAATCTGACGAACTCCAATTCTTACTCCTAAGTAGTCCCGCATCTCGTATGAACTTCACCGCTTGCTAATGCTTCGTGAGATATCCGTCGCTCGGGAGTCGCTCGTCACGAACTCCACTCTTGAGATATTCCTCGCTCAAACACTCGAATGAAGTGAAAGCTTCTTGTCAATATGCTGCTGTTTCCATGGAAACTGATTCTTCCATCAATGGCAATCACGACTTGTTGCCGACGAAGGATGTGACCGGTTGGGCTCCAGCTCCCAATCACCTCGCGATTACTCCTCACCACAAACCCTTGCACGCAGTCTGCCTATTTTTGCGGTCACACCATCACACTTTTCTCTCCCTATAGGGACCAAATGCAACATTTATTTTGTAGCTAATGCGACGTTTTGATTTGCTATGGCAACAGTTTTATAAGGCTACGGCAACAGTTTTACAGGGCTACGACAACAGTTTTACAGGGCTATATCAGCACTTTTTAAGAAATTTGACCAATAAACAAACAAAGTTACGTAAACCAAAATAACAATGGAATAAGAACACACTACATTAAGATATCATCAAAATAAAAAATAATGAAGCATTCATATGTTTTAAGCCCATCATTCAAAAATAAGTAGTTACAAGATAACTTCAACCCATCAAAACATGATCAATTTACAACCATCAAAATATGATCAATTCAAAAGTACAAGTCTGTTCCAAAAGATTCATATATCAAAGCCATCTTGACCGCATTCTCCTATTTAAGTCTTTATATCCCCTGCAAAAAATAAAGAAACGTATCAAATATCATGTCAGCAACAAACTGAAAAGGTAATTTTTTAAACTAACCATTACAAGGAAAAAAAAGCTCAAGTAACATTGGTAAATAAGGAGACAATTGGTCCTCAGATGGCTACAGTTTCTCTTTTATATTAAAAAAGTGAGAAAATCACTCACCTACATCAAAACCTCTTCCATTTGAGCAAAATAGTGGCTACAGTTTCTTCAAAGTCCAAACCATGATCTTCAAAGCATTCATATGTTTTAAGCCCATCATTCAAAAATATTGACCTTTTTTTCCATGGACAGCCCTTTTCTAATTTTTTCTTTTTTTCTTCCCAAAGTCATTAACAAAGCCACGCAATTCCTCCATAATCTCTATCCCGGATAATGATTCAGGTTTTTTTCCTAACTCAACATGGCCATTAAAGTTTCTTCTATTTAACCGCCATGGATGATTATCACTCAAAAATCGACGATGACCCATGTAACACATTTTCCTACTGTATTTTAAATATTGCGAACAAGTGCCATAGTTGCAGCAAGGACAAGCCAACTTCCCTTTAGTACTCCATCCGGATAACATTGCAAATGCTGGAAAGTCACTTATAGTCCAAAGTAAAGCTGCACGAACATAAAATGGTTGTTTACTTGAAGCATCATAAGTAAGCAATCCGACTTCCCATAACTCTTTCATGTCATCAATCAGCGGTTGCAAGAAAACATCGATATTATTCCCAGGGGACTGAGGCCCTGGAATAAGCAAAGACAACATGAAATATTCTGGCTTTAGAGACATCCAGGGTGGTAAATTATAATTTATCAAGATCATCGGCCATGTACTATGTGAAATGCTCATAGTCCGAAATGGATTAAACCCGTCACTAGCCAAGCCCAGCCTCACATTACGAGGGTCTAGTGCAAAATCAGGATGATTGGAATCAAAATCCTTCCATGCTTTGCCATCTGCTGGGTGCCTTAGATTCCCATCCTGGAGGCGCTCTTTTGCATGCCAGCTCATGGATTCAGCAGTCTGAGAACACATGAATAGTCTTTGAACTCTAGGTTTTAAAGGAAAGTACCTTAAAACCTTGGCTGGAACACCCTGCTTATTTGCCTTCCATCTACTTTCACCACATTTACTGCAAGCAACTTTTTCTCCATCTTCTCCACGGTAAAGCATGCAATCATTAGGGCAAGCATGTATCTTGTTGTAATCAAGGCCCAAATCCTTCACAATTTTTTTGGCCTCATAATAAGACTTTGGTAGATTTATTTCAGGAATTGCCTCTCTCCATATGGCTAGATAATCATCAAATGCCTCGTTGCTTAGGCCATGGATGCACTTGTGAAGATACAACCGGATGATAAAAGAGAGTTTAGAAAAAGTTTTACATCCCGGAAACAACTGCTGCTTACCTTCATCAACTAACTTATAAAATTTCTTTGCCTCCTTTGTTAACCTTTCTTCATCGTCACTTAGGCCATCTTCTTGGTTCACTGGAGACTCTTCTGCTACATCTCTAAATAAATCATGCAATAACTCATCCATGTTGTCTTGAGCATCATCAGCAACATCATCAACTTCTTCATTATTGTCATCAACATCCATCCTTGATGACACACCCTCTCCGTGAAAGAACCAATCATAATAATTCTCCACAAATCCTTTGACAATAAGGTGATCATAAACAACATCACGACTATACCAAAAACGATTACAGCAAATGCGACAATGACAACATATTTCATCCCCTTCTGCTCCATTAGCAAATGCTCTCTCAAGAAAGTCATTGACATTATTAATGAACTCCACACTCACTCTAGGAGCATTATACATCCAATCTCTGTTTTCCGCCATTTATTATATGGTCTGGAGAAAGAAAAAAATTGAATAACACTATTAATAACTACATATAAATCTTGTGATTAATAAAATGTAAAAATCAATCCTCTTGTTGCCATTAATAACAATATATTCAATCAACATTATTCTGATTAACACTATTAACAGTTACATTGCAAGTCATATATGCTACAACCGTACTATTCTGAAGATTATAAAAAAAATACAAGTGAGAAGGACTTTATATTAAAAGGTGGCATGCAATTGATACTTCATTGTTGTGAATATCCTACAAAATAATAATATAATAACTACTAAAGACATAAGTGCATTCAACACTTCAACAGTTAGAAGCATAGTCATGGTACATTGCTATAAGAATAATATCATAACGCTTTTAAGAAACAAGTTAAGTTACCTTCTTACCAAATAATGATGTAATCAACGAGATTAAACGCTCTTCTAACTCTTCTTGGTAGCTCTCTTTCTTATTTTTCTTGCTCACTGGAATTTAAACATCATATAAGTCACATTAGTAGTGAAAGTAAAGAAATTTATGAACACAACATTGCATGAGTGGAAGGATTAACAAAAACATGAATGAAACTAGCAACAGTTTATATGAAAACTGCTCAAAACTATCATATTCTCCAGAGAAGGAAAATAATAAGAAAACTGCTGATGAAATCGGAGTCATTTTTGCAGGAGTATTTTCTAAGAGTAGATCAAGTGAGACGTTACACAGTTCTCCTGAATCATCACTTAGAAGCTTGGCTCAGTTTCGCAGAAATCTCTCAACTCGCCCTCTTCATTCCGGACTTGTATCTCCTCAAGAAAAATTCTTCCATTCATAAATACACGAAATCATTGAAACATTCTGTGAACCTTGGAAAACATGCGGTTTGAGGTTGAATTAACAATTCGTAGCAAAGTTTAGCCAGTTTTGCTTCCTCCATAACAAACTCTACTTTGTTCGTAATCGATATTTTTAGTGAAAACATCACCCATTTTATACATCACATTAATTGCTATACAGAGATGCTTCGCAATCTGCTATTTTTGTGGGTTATGTACACACAAGTAACATCTATAATTTTCTAATATCATTTCTAATATCGGTCACTTTTCAATTTATGATATTTTTACAGTGTTGCGAAACGGGTATACGTGATCCATGGAGGAGGAGAAGCTAGCAAAGAATCAAGATGATCTCTTCATCCAAATTCTCTGTTGTTCCTTAATTGTCTTCGCACACAGAATATGGTATCTCAATTAAAAATACAAACCAAGAGAGAACACTAATTAATCTTTCTTCAAGATGGATTTGCTATTTTTGTAACTAATTAATCTTCGCACACAGAATACGTTTGGTTTTGATTAAAAATTCAAAACAAAAACACCCCCTCTCTTCACAACCAATCCCCCCCCCACAAAAAACCCCATATAATCAAATCCTAATCCCCTATCTACACAACAACAAATTAAACACTAATCATAGTGGTGATCAACAGTCATGAGCCCCCCTTGCCGTGCCAAGCAAAAACAACCTCCCCCAACTTCCATCCCAACAATCTCTCACTCTGGCTGTCGGTGAATTAGCAGATAATGCATGACTAATACAAGTTTGTTGTAAAATACTGAGGACAGTTCTCAAAGCACTGCAAAAACTCTAAAAGCAAAATACAAAAAAAAAAATCGTTACTGAAAGGAGTTTGTTGTAAAAGACTCACGCTAACTTCAACACGGTGATCGTTTTCACTACCTTGTTTAAGCTTTGCTGATGTATCTTTCACTAGCTGTCCAATATGTAATCTCGTCTTGTGCCTGCGAGAAATGGTCGGAGATGAGATCGGAGACGGATTAGCTGCGAGATAAACTGATTAGTAAGCTACTGCGAGATAAAAGGCCATCAACAACTAAACAATTTCCCTAATAGAAAGGGGAAGAAACTGTAGAAATCAGAAATACAAGGAACTGAGGTACCTGAGAGTCCAAAGGAGAGTGAGATCGGAGACGGATTAGCTGCGAGCTCGACGACCTATATCGGAGATGAGATCGGAGACGAGACCAACAGCTCGACGAATAGATTAGTTACAAGATCGACGACGAAATCAGAGTTGAGATCGGAGACGATGAGATCGAAAAACGGCGAAGAGATTAGCGACGAGTTAAGCGATGAGATCGACGAATTTCGGCCATGGCGATCTCTCAGAGCGAACGAAGAGGGAGATTTTAGAAAGGGGTGATGAGTTGAGTGAGAGAGAAAGAGGGATATTTGGTAAAGCGGTGAGAAAAAAAAAAGAGATTTCGTTTCAGTGTTAAGCCCAAACCAGCCTATAAAATCGGCCCAAATCAAAATTATTGGGCCTAGCGAAGCGGTTTTTGTAAACCGTTGTCAAAGCGTTGTAAAACCGCCCCCATAGATACCTAACGCAACGGTCATAAACGTTGCACTAGAACTGTTGCGTTAGAGCAAATATGTGGTAGTGAGCAGAAAATCTGCTGCACATGTGTTATGTTTAACTGGATATTTGAGATAGAAAATGAACTCCAAATTGAACTAAACTAGTTTCAAATGAAAAATGTATGAATCTAGTTTCTAAAACAGAGAACAAATCTTAAAAAGAGTTTGCATAGAGAAAGATATAGTCTTTTTATTAATGACACGTCCTGCAGAGAAAACTGCTGCACATGTGTAGACTTCAACAGAAAATCGGGCATGGTAATGAATTCCAAATTGAACTACACTAGTACCAAATGAAATATATGTGAATCTAGTTTCTAAAACAGAAAACAAATCTAAAAAAGAGTTTGTATAGAGAAAGATAGACTCTTTTTATTAACGACATGCCCTGCAGAAAACTGCTGCACGTGTATGCAACTTCAACTAAAATCTGGTATTGATATTGAACTTCAAACTGAACCAAAATAGTTCCAATTGAAAGATGTGTGAATCTAGTTTTTAAAACAGGAAGTCATTCATAAAAATAGTTTTCCTAGAGAAAGATATGTTCATTTTACTAACAGTAGCGCCAACCATTTTCTGGGCAGTTTGGCCCAGTTTCTTCTTTTCTAGAGATTGTTTGCGCTGTTTTGAGATGTGTTCGCGGAGTTTGAGCCGCTCGATTGCTACACTTACTGTCATAAATATGTAGTAATATATATGTGAGTATCCCTAGGGGATTATGATAAAATATGGTTACGATTACACTCTTGAGTTTTTGAATTAGTTCGTGAACCGTAGATGAGACCATGATGAAATTCACTCCACTACACGTATTTGTTTATCCGCACGAGCGTACGAAGAGGTTGATGCACCTATGTTAGTTGTTTATCCGCACGAGCGTGCGAAGAGGTCGATGTACCTGTGATAGTTGTCGATCCGCACGATGTTGCGATGATATCTACTTGTCGATGAGCACCGCCCAATACCACTTGGGATAGGGCGTCGATATACCCTTCGTACATGTGTGTGTATGTTTTAAAAACATATATACATATATATTCCTCATTTTTGTTAAAAAAAACATTGAAAAAAATAAATTAAAATAAATATATATCAAATTTTTTTTCTTAGGCCATTTTCTATGGCCCAAACAAAAACATAAAAAAAAACAATATACAATAGGCTGGCTGTGTGTGTATGTTTTAAAAACATATATACATATATATTCCTCATTTTTGTTAAAAAAAACATTGAAAAAAATAAATTAAAATAAATATATATCAAATTTTTTTTCTTAGGCCATTTTCTATGGCCCAAACAAAAACATAAAAAAAAACAATATACAATAGGCTGGCCCAAAAATCAGGCCCAAAAGAAAAAGAAAGTAAAAAAATATAACAAAAAGAAACCGTGTTTGGGCCGGCTGGCCCAAACACCATGGCTTTGGGTATCGATGCCAGCATCGATGCCCAAAACCTGCTGCTTTTAAAACCGCAGCCCTCAACCCTTTCTTCTTTCCCTTATTTTCTTCTTTCCACCTCCCCAAATCCAACCCCAAAAATTCCCAAAACTAACCCGTAAAAACCCACGGAGATTGGAGGGCTTCTTCTTCAATTTTTTTCGGATCTTTGCTTTCTCCACCTCTACACAATTCCAAGGTATAATCTCTATCTTGATCTTGTAATTTCCTTATGAGAATGGGTTCATGGATGAATTGGTGATTGAATCTTGGGTAGTTGTGAATGATTATCATATTTTGTGTTGATTCATGATCAATTTAGTAAATTTAGGGTGTAATTTGGGGATTTGCTAAAAATTTAGGGATTTTTATTCAAAATCCAAAAATTGGGGGGGGGGGGTTATGCAAAATCCGAAAATTTCTTAGGGGTTTGAACTTAGAATTCAATTGAGGATATCTTGTTCAAAAATCTGAAAAAAAAAGAAAAAAAAATTGGGGTGTTTTGTGCAAAACCGACAAAAATTGGGGTTTATGCAAAATCCAAAAATTTCTTGGGGGTTTGAACTTAGAATTCAATTGAGGATATCTTGTTCAAAAATCTGAAAAAAAAGAAAAAAAATTTGGGGTGTTTTGTGCAAAACCAACAAAAATTGGGGTGTTTCATGCAAACCCAAAAATTCTTAGGGTTTTTGTGCAAAAATACATAATTTTGAACATTCAATTGGGTACGTGATTTCAAATTGAAATTTTTTTTGGGTGTTTTATGCAAATCCAAAAAAATTAGGGTTTTTTTAAGGTTTAGCTTATAATTGTAATATCAACATGTGTATTTCACCGATCAAGTTATCAAAATTTTAACATTTTTGTTCTAAAAGAATAATTTTGAGGAAATTTATTGTCAAAACAAAATTCTGATAACTTGAAATTAACTCATGTTGAACAATTTGTAGCTAAATTCTTGTCAAAATAATAATAATAATAATATTCTTACTAATAAAATAAAATACATATATTGGAATTTTTTTTATTAAAATGTTTTTTTTCTTTTTCTGTAGATGCCCCCCAGAAAGAAATCCAGAGCAAGTTCATCATCTTCTAATCCATCTGATACTGATTTAGATAGACCTACTATTTTAGCTAGAATTGTGGGTTTTAACATTCATTTTGAGAGGGGATTTTAGATGAGTGCATTACATACATATCATTCCACAGTCACCATGTAACTGCATTAGGTCTTAGGAGCATGATGACTAAACCCTTAGAAAAAGCCAACATTTCATTAGTTCATGAGTTCTATTGTAGGTCTTAGGAGCATGATGACTAAACCCTTAGAAAAAGCCAACATTTCATTAGTTCATGAGTTCTATTCTGGATGGGAGATTGATCCAGATAGAGAATATTTCATTAGTTCATGAGTTCTATTCTGGATGGGAGATTGATCCAGATAGAGAATATTCAGCTTTTTCTACCGTGAGAGGTGTTAGGGTTATTTTCGATCTTTCCACTATCCGTGCTACCCTTGACCTTGCAGAACCACCCACTGATGTACCAGATTATTTCCATTTAGCCTCCACTTTGCAGCCTGGTACACCAGAATACAATAACATGTCTGCAACCTTGTGTGGGAGGATCTTTACATCTAGTTTCGGTTCAGGAAATCTCAAACCAGAATATAGATTACTTAATCTTTTTCTGAACTTTGATTTGAAACCCACCTCTGCATACTCTGTCATTACCCCACATGATATTCTCCTTCTCTTTTGGATAGCCACTGGTCAGCGATTTGATATAGCGAGGATTATATTTGTATGGATGCGCTCATCAGTGGAGAATGTGTTGGATTGGGTCAGGACACAGTCTGCATCACGTACTCAGCTCATTTACCCCTATTTTATCACTAGACTCTGCCATATATTTTACGTTCCAGTATTCGCAGAGGATAGGTTAGAAGCAGGGAAGGGGTTACTAAATGATCAGACTGTGAGGAGGAGCATTTCAGGGCGAGATCAGTCCGGTCCTTTAGGTAGAGAGCCTCCTCAGCACCAGCTAGCTACACATGACCCCACTCGAGAGGAGATGGATACGATGCGGAGTCACATGGACAAGATGCAGATTCGCATGGACGGGATGCAGAGTCAAATGCACAGGATGCAGCGGCATATACACGACATACATGGTCAGATGAGCTACTCCACCGAGACCCTGACATATTTGGCGAGAGGATGGCAGAGAGAACATGGAGATACAGATGGACCTCCACCTGAGCTTAATAGTTTTATCACACCATTTCAGCCAGATGAGCTGCCGCTGATGATGTGGGTGACGATATATCAGGAGATGATCGGTGAGGGATGTTCTTTTTATTTTTTTACCCAGTCTTTGATTTTTATTTCGGCATGTACTTATTAAACTGTGATATTTTGGATATTATTTGTCTTGAGGACATTGTAAAGTCTGGGTATGGGGGTGTAAGCTAGTTAGCCTTTGTTTATATTTTGCTAGTTAGTATTTTGTTTTAGTTTTCAGCATTTATCTTTTGTTAGTTAAAAAAAAATTAATTGTCACTTGCCAAATTAATAGAGTTAAGTAATAATTGATCTAATTGATAGATTTTAAATTTTCTAATCCCTAGTTAGTGACATACTCAAGTTCACCTTTTATGATAACTCCAAATAAAATTCTTAAGAAATGATTTTTTAACTAGTATACTTTACTTAAGTCTTACCTTAGATTTTTAATTAAAAATAATGAAATTTTTGCATGCTTAACTTAGAGTTGAAAATATTTTTTTTCAAGTTATCTTGATTTACACATTTTTTTAAAAGACTATATATACTTACACATATATATTTAAAAAAAAAACTAACCTTATAAAAGAAGAGTGCGAAAAATGGGCACCACAAAAAAAAAACTCTTAAATTCAATGTGATTCTATCTTATAAAGCCTAAGTTGACTGAGCAATTAAGCCCAAGGAGTATTTTTATACTTAATGACCTAAGCCCAATTGGGTTGGGATTCATTGGCCTAAAACTCGTTAAATGGTCACTTAGAAAGCCCGTTAAAATAGAAAACAATCACCAAGAATTAAAGAGTGAGAAAAAAATATTATAACACTAACCATTTTTTTTCTATATATTGTTGTTTTGAATATATGGTCTTGAAAAACAATATTTGATCAAGAAACTTGAAAGTTATTTAAAACAAAGAGTTAGCATGTTCAAAACTTTTTTATTAAATCTCTAAGATTTGACTTGGTTTGTATTGCTATAATGAAAAAGATTTTCTAAGAGATTTACATTGGAGTTATATATAAAAACGTTTTCTTGATTATTAACTAGCTGCAATTAGAATGTCTAAATATATCAAGGAAAATTAGTTATTTACTGATTTATTTAACTTGGCAAGTTGACCGAATTTTATGGGTATATTCACTGCAAACCCTCACGAGACTACAACTCGTCCACTAGGGTAACCTAGGGGTTTAAAGTCTTGTTATATGCGCTAAATACAACCGTGATTCCTGCGAAAGTGAGTTAGAATTTTCTTTTTATTTTCTTTGCTAGAGGACTAGCAAGAGTTTAGGTATGGGGGTATTTGATAATCACATTTTATGACAGTTTATACCCTCATTATCTATTTTATATGAATAAATGTACCACTAATAATTATTTTTATCTTTTAGTTGCAGGTTAATAAAAAATAAATCTCAAACTTCAATCTCTCAACAAAAACCCGTTGATTAAATGAAGAAATGAAGCAAAGAAGCCCATTGGAAAATTAATTTCCAAATTATCCAAAAGCCCAAAAGAAGAAAAATATCCAAGCCCAAAAGTCAAGCAAAGCCCAAAGTCCAAAGCCCAAAAGCAAACAACAAGGAATTCTACGGACAGCAAAAGAAGAGAGGCAGGCATCGATGCCTGCATCGATGGGGGCATCGATGCCTGTTTCGATGCCTGCATCGATGCCATCGTACAGTAATCTAAGGCTAAAATTTGTTGTTTTTGGATAAGATTTTAATCTAATGGCTCTCATTCACTGATGTTTACTATAAATAGGGGTAGAGAGTGAGGGGTTAGAGGTGTGAAAAATTTTGTAACTCTATTTGGAGAGGAGGACTACTCTTAATTGAGAAGGTCTTCCAAAAATTATAACTTTTGTTGCAATTAATAATAATAATTTTTCTCCTCTTTAAATTTTCTTTTCTTAATAATAATAATTTTTCTCCTCTTTAAATTTTCTTTTCTCCTCTTTGTTGAATGATGAGGATGGAGATGAAGAGCAAGTTGAAGGTTTGCATTTCTTTTCTCTTTTTCTTTTATTTCTTTTTTGTAATTTCTTTATTATTGCTTATTAGTTAGATTTACATTCATGCTTGTAGTGTAGATTTATTTATTGCTTATTAGTTAGATTTACATTCATGCTTGTAGTGTAGATTTATTTTCTTATCTTTTTTATTTTTTTTGCACTTTAATTTGTAGAATAGATTTATTTTCTTGCATTTAATTTCTGCAATTTATTTTGTTGATACGAGTCGCCGTGCGAGCACCCTTGATC